GTAGTGGGAATTTAAGGATGTACTACCAATGATCGACATCGATCTCTAACGGTGACCGGATAGCTCTTGTACCACAACTTGAGATAAATAAAGTTCCTTATTCTCAACCAATTGAGTAAGCACTACAAACACCAGTTTGGCCGAATTCTAACAGTCAAAGACCTAGATTCACTACACACACAAACAAGCCCAACTATTGGACCAAGAATCACTGCATATACGCACAAACCTGACTGAATTCTAATGGTCCAAATCCTAGTATCGCACCACATACCGGCCTGGTCGACTTCTAGTGGTCGAGGTCCAGTGATCGCACATCATACACCAGCCTGGCTGAGCCTTAATGGCTGAGAACCTAGGATCACACTAAACGCTAAGGGCCGATTGACCCCTAATGGCAGAGGCCCGAAGACCACTATGCACAGGCGGACCTAGTCCTATCTGGGCACGGCAGGAATGATGCCCTTACCATGCATGGATGGAGGGCAGCAACTGAACTCCACACTCGAAGCTGACCCCGCCAAAGACTCTTGAGAACCTACCATCTTGAGGTTGGGAAGAGCCAATCAAAGGCCATGGCTGGCCCGACCGAAGAGTGTAAACTCTGCAAGACCAAGCACCACTAAACTCCCAATTGCAACGACTAAGAGTTTGGAAGCACTTTGGCTATAACGACCCAAAGTGGTCTAAGTTGGTTTTTGCGAGACCAAGTGCCATTGAAATCTCCACTGCGAAGAGTGAGAGTTCAGAAGCACTTCGGCTAGAACAACCTGAAGTGGTTTAGCAAGGACTTTCACTAAATAATTGCAAGTTAGGAACCACATCTAGGGTAAAGAATTAAAGAAAAGGTACAAAATTAAAAAATAAAAAGCATTCATTCATTCTGACCATAAGTTCTTCTACAAAAAATAAGCTCGACATTCTGAGCTGTACATTAGGGTAGAAAAAAAAAATACAAGGAACAAAAAGAACTAGGGGAGGAGATCGTGGTCATCTTTCCTCGTCAACTACATCGTCGATGCAGGTCCTACTCCTTGAACATGGTCACGGTGTCGGGCTGGGTAGACTAGTCTCTAGTGGTCTCCTTGACGACAAAGGGACCAAACTTCTCCACCACGGCCACCACCTTGGGTCACAAGCGCAGGACCCTCCTCTTACATCGACCAAAATCAGTCGGCCAGGAGTCGGTGGCGTAGTCGTTAAGCTCGATCTTGAACACTTTGGACGCCTTATACTCGATGACCGCCTCCTCCTTGGCTTGGGCCAGCTTTGCCTCAGCTTCTCCGGCCGCCTTTTGAGCCCTATCTTGACCCTCCTTCAGACTGTGCAACCGACTCTTCAACTTCTATAAGCCGTTAGCTCCATCTGCCATGGTCTTCTTTAGTTGAAGAGTCGGTTGCATAGTCTGAAGGAGTTCTCCGCCTTCAGACAGGAGTTCTCCACCTCCCAATCCTCGACCATCTGTTGAAGACTGCGCATCCGATTGACCAGTGTTGTCATAATGCAGATGACCTGTAATATATCCAAGTCAATAAACGCAACAAATAAATAAGAAAGAGAAGAGAGACGAAGGCAAATAAAATTACCGTTATAGTCTCACGGATAGCCACACTCTCCAGGACCCTGCTTGTTTGGTCGTACGCCTCCCAACGGACCTCGGGTAATAGGATACCCCGAGCCAGCAGCTCGGGGATATCCTTAGTATCCAAAGTGTCCCCAGAGCAGATACTCCAGTTTGACTAGTGAATGTCAGCCTCTTCATCCACCAAGGCTAGAGCGGCCAAGCTCTTGAAACTTCTCCGGGTGCTGCCAATCTGTCAACACCCAATTTATGTTGTGAATACACATAAGATGCATTAATTTGTTGTGAATACATTGTTAGCAAAATTTTAAATAAAATATTTCAGTCATTTATTATATTGCATATTGTAATATGATGTGGACTGATTGATCCAAAATATTTTAGCACAACAAAGAAAATGAGATACTTTGCATTTCAAAACCATCCATAGATGGTTTCAAAACATGCCACACCCCTAAAAGTAGGGGTGTCAATTGGACTGGATTTGGTCCAATTCAATCCAATCCAATGTGAGTCAACTACAAATGGACCAAGTCCAATCCATTCCAATAAATATTTTGGACTATTTTGGATCAGTCCACTTCAATGTTTGGACCGTCCGATCTATTCAATTTCGTTTTAATTTAGATTGGTTTCAACCCAAACCTGGTCCGTTGACACTTGTATTCTTATCCTATATCAATGGACCAGATATTGGCTTAATCCAACCCAATCCAATATAAACTTATTATGGATGGACCATGTCCAGTCCAATCTAATAAATGTTTTGGACCGGATTGGTCCAATCCAATATGTCTTGTTGGTCCGTCCAAATCGATTTTGGACTGGATGGGGTGCAGTCCAAAACTAGTCCATTGACACCATTACTAAAAGAACACCTAATGGGTGTGCTGTGATTGAGAACCTAGCATTCCACAACATTTAACACCCTGTTAGGCTGTGTTTGGCTTAGTAGAAGAGATAATGGAAAGTTGGGCTGCGTTTGGAAACAATGCAAATGGAGTGTAAATCCTGGTTCATGGTAAATTTGCACTCTGGTTCACTTTTGCCTGTGTTTGGCAACATTACATTTATGCATCGACAAATGACAGAAAACACATTTTCCAATGCATATTTACATTCATAATAAGATGTAAAAGTACATCAATAAAAAAGAAATAAATTTGCATTCAAGTGGGCTTTTGATAAAAGAAGGCATATGCTTTATTGGAATTCGTGTTTGCATCCATTACAGCTAAAAGTCTGTTTGGTAAAAAGGTAAATTTGTCGATGCAAAACTAATCAAACTTTACAATTTATATTGACCATTTTACACTCTACATATTTGCATTCACACTTATTTGCATCATTTCCAAATGCAGCCTTGAGGGAAAGTTCTTAAAATAACTGTGTTGTTTTACACTCTATATATTTGTATTTACACTCCTTCCAAACTGAGCCTTAAGAATTTTCCCTAACTTTTTCTTTCTCTCTAATTTTTCTACCAAATGAAGCATAACTTTAGGCTCAGTTTGGAAGGAATACAAATACAGATTATAGAGTAAAAAACTTTACATTTTGTATGTATTTACACAGTACATATTTGCATTTGAACTCTTTCCAAGCCGAGCCTTAGAGAATAAGATTACGATTGGGAATGATGCAAATAAGTGTGAATGCAAATATGTAGAGTGTCATATGAATTGCAAAATTGGGTTAGTTTTGCTCTAACAAATTTACCTTCTTACCAAACAGACTTTTAGCTGGAATGGATGCAAACATGAATTCCAATAAAGCATATGCCTTTTTCTTTTATCAAAAGCCCACCTGAATGCAAATTTACTTCTTTTTTATTAATGTACTTTTACATCTTATTAACAATGTAAATATGCATTGGTCTGTCATTTGTCAATGCATAAATATAATATTGCTAAACACATGCAAAAGTGAACCAGAGTGCAAATTTACCCTGAACCGGGATTTACACTCCATTTGCATCATTTCCAAACGTAGCCCAAAGGTTTCAGGAAGGCAAGTTTTTAAATCAGATCCAATGGTGCAAAGGGATAGCAAGGATGGAGCAATCATAGAAAGATTGGACTGTCAAGTTTCAAAGGCGTCATAAGTAATCGTTTGAAGTTTTAGAGTTCAACTACACTGTACTTTTCATTATAAATCAAAATTTTACCACGATCTATTTACTTTTTTCTGTGAATTGTATAATTTTTTGATAAAAATAAAGGGAAAATCTATGATGTAGAAAAGATATGGTATAGAAAGATAGTGTCACAGTGACTAGCTGAAGGAGAGGAAGTGGGATGGGGTTAGTGGAGAAGGCAATATTTGAATGTATAAAGGAGTGGGGCTTAAAAGGGTTCTTGTGTATGCTTGTGCTCCAAGGGTGTTCTTAACACTAAGCTCGCCTTCATGGAATGGCTATATAAATCAATGAAGGGCTCAATCAACTGGATGGGACCGGCCAAAGCATCCCACTCTAACATGAGTCTCGATTTGCTTCTCACAGAATATTCCTCACCGTGGTTTTTAAAACCGATCCGGAGACCGAATCGGTTAGGGGTCTGGTTGGGTTGGACGGTCTGATCGTTCGAATCGAACGATCGACCTGTTCTGACAAAACATTAAAAAAAAACAGTTAAAACTGTTCGAATGGTTCGAACGGTTAACCCCAAGAACATCTTCCATATATACTTGTATGTTATTATTCATGACATATCCAAATTCCTCTAACATGCACCCTCACCATAAAGTCCATTGCGCTTGAAGCATGTGCCCACCTATTCGATATCGATTGTGCTGAAATTTAATTAGTTATAACAGGGTCACGAGGACCAAATACTAATACACTATCAAATAGGCTTTCTTCACACTATTTAAAAGTGAACCATTTAACCTAAAAGCTTAAGCCGTTGGGTGAGGAATTAATAGGATTTTAGTTTTTGATATATCCATTAATCCAAATTCATGGGGTCTTTTTATTGGTTAATGTTTGAAATTGTCTTAAAAAATCATCAAAATTTTGTATTTTATTTTTCTTTTCCAGATTTTACGTAGTTAATTATTCCAAAAATTAAAGGAAAATTTTAAATCCTGGACAATATTTTCTTATCCAATGTTTTCAAGTGAAACAAATAGACCCTTGGAGACAGATTCGAAGACTAATAGATTCACACAGACTTTGTTACGTTGGCTTCTCTATGATTTTGGGCGTTTTTTTTTTCCCATTATGCATGGAGACAGATTCGATTATTCGTACATTAACAAGAAAAAGTGGGGAAAAAAAGACAAAGAAAAGAAGAACTCTCCAACTTTATACATTCAGAAAGTGCACAAAATATTCAGGAATGTAGAACAAAATATTATTCAGTCATCAAAAGTCATTGGGTGCAAGAAAGAGCACCTCCCACTGAGAAAAAAAAATAAAAAAGAAGAAGAAGAAGAAGAAGAAGAAGATTAAAACACATCAATGATCAATCCCAAAATCCAACTTCTAACAGAAAGCAAATCAAGTTCTTCCAACAACAACACAGACTCTGCAGAGATCGATCGGAGAGACTAGCCGTGGTGTTCAACATGCTTCACAACAGTAACCGGACAAGAACCATTGTTCACCACGTGGTTGCTAACACTGCCCAAAAGAACCCTGATCGAGGAAGCAAAAACGAATGAGAGCAATTAAAATCAAGACCCAGAAACCAAAATCAACAAATCCCAACTCAAAACATCACGAGCTACGTTGAAAGATTTCCATCAGCTCATAATCATCAAGCAAGCTAACAATAAGAAACTAACGAGAAAGATAAAGCAACAAAGCAAGCGGGCTGTAGATTCTAGTCCTACCTCTTGAGCTTGCCAAGACCTCTGTTTCCGATGACAAGGTGAGTGAGGGGGACGGTATCAATTGCTTCGCATAGCCTCTCGCGAGGGTCTCCCCAGTAGATCTTCATAACAACCGTAACCTGCAAATGCCAAAGCTCTGAACTGAGAGCCCTAAAGGGATGTAAAAAATTAAAAATAAAATATGGGGTATGTGTAAGGGTGGTCACGAATCGAGTTTTTTCACGAGTTATTCGAGCCGAATTTGAGATCAAGTCTCTAACTCGAATAGAACTTAAACCTAATAATTTATCTCCAATAACCAAATATTCAGCTCGACTTGGATCGAATTCTATTAAGTTAATTACCTTTTTCTGCTTGGCTGCAGACTGGACTGCATTCAAAGTGTCCTGATCAGGCATCACCCCATATTTCTTCATGATGACAGCGTCCGAGAACTCGTGAAGAGGGATCAAGGCTGTGAATTTTAAATTTTTAATGAAAATATAAAGAAGGAAGAAAGGAAGGATGGAAATATGGTGTATATGGATATGGAAGAAGACATACGGGAACCGGTGGCCTCCCAGAGCTGCATCTCGCCCTGCTCGTAGTCTCCTTCAGGCCGGATGTGTATAAGGATGACGTGATCTCCTTCGCAGACACTGTTCTCTAACGCCCATCTCAGTGCTTTCTTGCTGCACTCCGAGAAATCAACAGCTACGCCAATTCTTCCGTTTCCTCCCATCTCTGATCTCTATGTATCTCTTTGTATCTCTGTTACTTTTTAATTCTCACGCTTCTCTTTTGATCTGGTCGAACACTGGAGAGAAAGCAACAAGAGCGAAATAAAAAAGCCCAGAAACGAGACTACAAAAAATGCAATTCCGATCGAAACGCGAGATTGTAATTGTAGTAACAGAAAAAGAGTAATAACGGATGGTCGTACTTTGAAGTTTGATCTGGTCGAACACCACCCGTCAACCACGCTCTTTGCAACAGATCCGGAGTCAATGGCCACACCAAATTTGTCTGAAATCTTCCACCAAATAAAAAACATGAACCACGTCGGTACCAATATATCATTTCTCTTCATGAAAAGTTATTATTTCAGAAAAGAAAATAGAAATTTTAGTTAATTTGGATTTGAGGGTTTAGCCTGTTTCTGGACCATTGGAGATGGTTTAAAACTTCAAATCAATAAATTTGAATTTGAGGGTTTTGCACTCTATATGTTTCTATATGTACTCCTTCCAAACTGAGCTTTGGCTTGGTTTGGAAAGAATACAAATACAAATATGCACAGCACAAATACATAGAAAACAATACAAAATACAAGGTTTTGCACCCTGCATATTTGTATTTGTATTCCTTCTAAACTGAGTTTTTTTTTCATTTTTTTATTTGTTTATTAAGCTTGATTTGAAAAGAATACAAATACAAATATGTACAGTGCAAATTCATACAAAATAATACAAAAGATAAGGTTTCTCACTCTATATGTTTGTATTTGTACTCCTTCCAAACTAAGTTTTGGCTTGGTTTGAAAAGAGTACAAATGCAAATATGTAAAAAACAATGGTTGTGTTTGGTTGCAATGCAAACGCAAATATGTACACTGTATACTTACCCTCTTTTCGGTTCATGAATGCAAATACGGTTCAGATTTTAAACCGTTATTGCACTCATCTTATTTGTTTGAAATCGGTGCTAAGTGTGGGTCCCATCATTAAATGCTTCAATGCCTTAACTTTGGTTAAAATGTTGATTATCAAAAAATACAAAATTGTATAAAAAAATATGTACAATAATACTCTCTTTTCAAAGTATAAAATTATCAAAAAATACATTTTTTATCTAATAATCATTACTTTTTTACATGTCAAATGCTCGTAAACACGAACTACAGTACATAAATACCCCGATTTGACATTTGTATTGCAAACAAATGGAGCCAATACAAAATGCAAGATTTTGCACCCTACATATCTATATTTGTACTCCTTCCAAACTGAGTTTCTCTCACATAATTCGTCTAGTTACCTTGGATTTCCACCACTTTCCCGGGTTATTTTAGTGAAGTGAAGAAGCAATCCACCTTAGCCCTTGTGTATTTCCACACCGGTTATTTAATTTTAGTCATCTCAATGTTTATTTTGAGAATTGAGATGTTAGGTCTAAGCTAACGTGCATGGAACTGCAAATCCAAACTAATTGAACGACTCATGGTGGTCACAGAGTATGTTTACATGGATTTAGCGGAAGAGAGGGTGGAAAATACACTTCTTCACTTCAACTATTACCACCAGGTACCCACTCTACATTGCAAATTAGTTTTGCTTGACATCCATCTCTCTATTTGCCTTTTTCTTTTTCTTGAATTTGGTAGGTCTGTCAATAAGTCAGGTCTATCCAACAGAACCAAATTGACTGAACCGATTATATCAGTTCTAATTCTGTTGTTTTCATGGGCCAAGTCAGAAAATTTTTATGAGGGGGAACAAAACCTAAAGTTGATTAGGGAGGGGTGGGGGAACAAATATAGATGGGCCCATATGGGAAGCCGACCATTAGATTAGAGAGTGGGGAGGGGGAAATTTACATGGAAAACTATTTCAAGTGGGGATATTTACATCTATTAATAATTGGGCTGGCATTGGTCCTTGCTGCTCTGAACCGATTATATATGTTTAATAATGTATAAAGGTCTTTTGGTTTTCTAATTTTTGTATATTTTGTCCGAAAGGGTAAATTACATAGATGGTATATAAGATAATTTTGGTTAAAAATACTAGTTTTGTCAATTTATTATTTCACTATCGTTTTTGTTAAGGTTGTATCATAAAAAATAAAGTTTTTAAGCATAATATGATCATGGAATCATTTCTATCCATAAATCTTTGCCCAACTGCTCTGAGGTGTAATGACCATGAAACCATATCCTATTAGAGGAATAAATAGAGAGTGGATAGGGAGAGCGAGAAAAGATACAGGAGGTGTGGATGTAGGAGTAAACTTTTCTCTTAGGATTCATTTGTTTTTTGGATTTTGAGAGGGAGAAAGATATGTTCATGTTCTTTTTTCAGATTTATGTAGTATCCAAGAAAAATTTATTTTCCCTAGGTATCATTTATCCAAACAAGTGATATTTATCTCTGGTGGGTAATTAATTTTTCCATTTGGGGGAAAGTTTTCAACACTTGGATAAGACAAAGTTGTCCCTTTTAGTAATAACTTTTTATGGCTAAAATGACCATTATCTTAATTATCTAAAAAATAAAAGAACATAGGTAAATGCAATTACCCAAATAAGAAATATTTACTTGATAAATGCATTTACCTGAATAAGTAGCTTCTGAAAAACGAACGTTTCAGAGCCTTAGAGGTATTATTGAGCTGGGTGTGTAATTGGGAGGCATGCCTGAGATTGAAGATTTTGTTTGTAACATCTAATTTTATTTAGTTGAACTCAGTTTGGAAGGAGTACAAATACAAACATATAGAACCTTATCTTTTGTATTATTTTGTATGAATTTGCTGTACATATTTATATTTGTATTCTTTCTAAATCGAGCCTAATAAATAAATAAAAATGAAAAAAAAAAGAAAAAAAGCAGAAGTTAAGCCAGACAAGAGTTTTATTGTTGATGGCATAGCCCAAATTGAAAGCATCTGCTTGAGAGGAGAAAGAGAAGGGTAGGGCTTGTTAAAAAGTGAGATAATTGATACTTCGAGTATTAGTAATAATTAGGTGCTGAGGACGGCTAAAAAAGTGGCTGCTTCTGGCCAGTAACAAACCAATAAACCATGCTCCCAGACCAGAATATGAATCAATATATAGACAAATCCCCTTCCATGCTTACCAAGAAAACTGGAAAAAAAAATTGATTCTATTCCAAAATAAATCACACCTCAGTACTCAAAATACAATAATTCCCTTCAAATTTTCCAAAGAAAAAAGAGAGAAAACAAGAGAAACAATATGCAAAGGGCTCCCGGGAGGCATACTGAAGAGATAGATAAAAAAAAAAAAGGAAAAAAATACAGTTCAAAGCAAATGTGAGCAAACAAAATAAAAATAAAAATAAAAGCTACATGGAATATATACAATCAACTCTGCAGATGACCAAACACTACCTGGGAAAAACTGAAAGTGGTTTCTCCACACGGGTGAAAAAAAAAAGGGGGAAAACAACAACCATCATCTCAAATCCTCAGCCACTTTTCAAGTATGATTAAATGGAATAAAAGCTTTAGATCAGACGATGGCAGCTGGAGAACTTGACAAAAAAATCTCATCTTCCTTCATGCAAGTCTTCTGAGAACACTGCCGTTCGAGAGATGTTGTCATTGTCAAATGCACTTAAACCAGAAAAAGGGCCAGAAGAGAACATTGAAGAAGTTCCATCCGACTCATAAGTAGTGGATGACTGCCTGAGGTTGGTACGGCTGTTCGAGGTGGCTAACATGGAATCTTGATACTCTGTGATGCGCTGCACCATTTTTAGAGACTGTACCACTTCACCCATTGTTGGACGCTGGTTTGCCTCAGGGGCAACACAGGCTGCTGCAATTGTGCAAACACGTACAAAGTCATCCTCTGGATACTTGCCACCTAGTCTTGGATCAGCAAGCTCTTCCAGTCGATCCTTATCTCTAAGAATTGGTCTTGCCTGAATGCAATAAAAGCATAGTTCTTCAAATTATACCGAGAACAGTGAGTTACTTCTCTAACAAAAGCAGAGGAGGGAGGGATGTCTATCAACTAAATCTATTAAATGTTGGATTCTGGAAGTGGAAGCATCAACCTCAGGGAGTTTGTCAAATCTGAGACAACCATGGCACAGACTTTAAGATTCCTATATTTTGCACTAGGCATACAGATGAAAATAAAATGGGAAAAGGGAAATAGCCCTTAATTTGGACATGAATGCAAAATTTGTAATTCTTGGTAATATAATCAATAAATTTTTGCATGTTATTTGCACCGATTTATGCACCTAAGTCAACAAATGCAGTTTTCTTAAAAAAAAGTCAAATAATTTCACCCAAGTACCCAGCTCCTATGCGTGCATATACACAATTTCTCCTAAGTTCAATATTAAATGGGGAGTCAAATAAAAAACTTGCTATCTGAGATAGCACTTATACCCAGGAAAAGCAAGTAAACAAGGCAGAAATGTAGGAATTTAGGATCAATAAAATAGGAGAGGAAAGTACTAACCCAGGTAACAAGGTTCTCCTGGCCTGAAGGTTGTGACATATCAACAGGTTTCCTTCCAGTCAACAACTCAAGGAGGACAACCCCATAGCTGTATACATCACTCTTTACCAGTAGATGGCCAGTCATGGCATATTCTGGAGCTACATACCTAGTTCCATTTGGTAAAGCCATCTAAGTATTCACAACAACTTTATAGTAAAATAATAAAAGAATAAAGCAAAGAGTAGCTTTGGTAAGAACTAAGAAGCACAGTAGATGTTTACCCAAATGTGCCCATCACACGAGTGGACAGATAATTTGCCCGCCCTTCAGGTGCCTGTTTGGCTAGGCCGAAGTCAGCAACTTTAGCATGAAAGTTATTCTCAAGTAATATATTTGATGCCTTAAAATCCCTGTGGATGACACAAGGTTGTGAGTCCTCGTGTAGGTATGCAAGCCCTCTAGCAGAATCTAAGGCAATCTTCATTCTGGTATCCCAGTCCAGAGGGCAATTTACACCCAAGGGGCCTGAAAAAACATAAACATTCCTATAAGCATCAGTTTCTATCTATCATGCTTCATTAGTGGAGACTCGATCTTCACTAAAAGCAGTTAATATCATAAAGATATCAAAACAAATGTAGAAATCTGTGGCACAAGAAGGTGAAATACCATGGAGCCAGGCCTCTAAACTTCCATTTGGAACAAGTTCATAACAGAGGAGATTCTGTAAAGAGTCGCGACTACTACAGTAGCCTACAAGTTTCACTAAATTACGGTGATGCAGCCTGCTAAGCATCTCAACTTCAACCAAGAACTCTTTATCACCTTGTTGTCCTCCATTAGTAAGTTTCTTGATTGCAACAGCTGTTCCATCACTTAAGACACCTTTGAAAACCCTGCCAAATCCACCCTCTCCAAGCACACTTGCAGGCTCAAAGTCATTTGTTGCTTCTTTAAGCTCTTCATATGCCAGAAATCGTGTACTGCTCGGGTGGGGAAGAGATCCTCCTTTTGAAATTGCATCTGTAGTCCTTGGCTTTGCTGCAATATGAACTCCAGTTATGTATAATTTTATTTAAAAAGGAACTTCATAATAATAGTGCAAATCAGATCCATATTAAGTTCTTGTTTCCTGAGTTCCTTTCTCTAATTAAACTTACGGTCCAACATTCTTAATGTATTTCCCTCAATGAGTTATTTTTACTCTCAGGGAGACACCCCCCCCCCCCCACACACACACCAAGATCCCTAATATGTGCTGTTCATTTCATTATTTAATTTTAATATTTGGAAGTACAGTAATCACACAGGAGAAGAGACATCTTCACTCTTGGAATTTCATACAAGTCAACCTGCACTATGTTGAATCTGATGTGAGGTTACCACCCACTGTCCCAAGAAGGGGAAATGATCCAATGTCAAGACCACTCAGGCAAAATTTAGATCCAATCCATTTTTCCAGGAAACGAAGAAGTAAGATTTTGAGAAGTTGAACTGTATAAGATTGAAAAATTTACATCTCATATAGAAAAAAGAGCTCAGATGGTCAATTGGTAGACTTTCTGTACAAGTACATAGAAGATCTAGTGATGGATAAAAAATAATAGCACACAATTTCCTTGTAAAACCACCAAACCAACCTCTTTGAATTCCTAAAGAGTTGATAGCTTAAAAAGGAAAGGAAAAAAGAAAAGCAACAGTAAGCTTTCAATATTGATTTTCATTTGATCAAGCAAAAATGAAGCAACAAAATCAAAGAAGGAAAAAAATCAAAGAAAGCAAAAGTGAAGCAACAAAATGAGCGATAAGCCATATAACCAGAGGCAGAACACATGGCCAGACAAGGTGTTGATATGAAATTTAGATTATAAATATTTTTGGTACCCAACATGACAACACAGGTATATATATATATGTATGTATTATGAATCACAGGTATCTATATTTTAGGTGGCTGATATAGTAATGAACAGGGATGGTAGGTGTTTACCAGGAGAAGAGGAAGGATGGTCAATATAGCAATGAATAGCAAGGCAAGACTAGCTGTCTTACAAAAATGCTTAGGCAGGCACCTAAGCACCAGCTATGCAGTGGTTTTAGGAATATGAGACCCATGTTGGGTATGATCCATGTAGACATTTGCCACATTTTCAATGGTAATAACTTTTGCATATAAAGACATTACATCATTAAGTTCATTAGGCAATCACTTTTAATCATAAATTTTCTATTATATATAATATTATAGTCAATTCCATTCAGAAAACTATCAAGGCATATTTAGTTTAAAATAATGAATTGTCATGTAAAAATAATCCAAACAAATAAGCAAAGTAACAAGTTGATATAATAGTAAACCAAACTGAATTAATCAGTAAACAGGTTCAGTTGATCAGTTTTTGTTTGTAATTTTCATGCAAACAAAAAAATTATCTTCAGTCTCTAAATTAAAGAAAACAACCAACTAATATTTCACCACCAACAAAACAAAGATGTACAATAAAATTTCAACAATATTTATCTAAATACAACCAAATAAACCAAACATCTAATGATTATTATAAAAACACATCAATCTTCAATACTCATAACTTCTAATAAGCCAAGCGCACACACAATTCAACATCAACCACAATATTGTCAAAAACAACACAATATTCAACTTATTAAATAATACACATAACACTAGTTGGGGGAATTCAAATGATAGAGAGGAGTGCTTGGGTGACTTTCTAAATGGCAATCTCATTGTTGTTTTAGCATATGACAATTTGGAAATTTATATATTCATAGTATATAATTAATAAAAAATATTTATTATAAATATAGTAAGATACTGTTGATCCGGTTAACCACAGGTTTATTCCTAGATTAAATGAAACCAAATCCAAACCGATGGATTCACTCGGATTTTATGGTTCAGATTGTTGGTTTTTGGATCAGACTTTTTGTTTCTCAGATTTTCATGAGCACCTCTAATAGAACCCATGTAGCCCTAGCCTCTTGCTACCAACCAATACACCCATTTGTTTAATATACTACTCAGCTGGGTCCCCATTTGTAACCCAGAAAACATCTGTAGTTTTGTTCTTGTTGACTGCCTTCCTTTTAGTTACTTTTTAGATGTTAGATTAATCGAGCTTTATGTTTTGTTAATTTATAAGGGGTGGAAACTTGGGTCAGGTTGGGTTGAACATTTGTCAAATTTTGAATGGGCCCAAGCCCAAACCCAAACTCAATGTAGTTGAAATTCTTCAACTTGGGCAACCCAACCCCCCTAATTCCAAATAGATTTTGTATTCTAATGGAGTGTTACTTTTCACTACTAACATCTGCAGGTATTGCATTCAGGTAGGCTCAAAACGCTGCAGGTTTCCCCAATTACCCAGCCAATAATTCCATGCTGTTTTCTTTTCATTATTGATTTTTCGGAGGTATATATACAAAAAAGATTAATCTGATATCTTATCTAGTGGTACTTACCATAATCATTTGGTATAGAGTAAATTAGTTCTCTGCCATCACAAGAGATGCTTAATTGATTTGAAATACGTACCTATTTCTTTGGGAGGCGATTTCTTCTTTTCTGGAAGTGATGTGCATGCATGAATTATTAGCACAGATATAATTATGATTACAAGGAGACTAACACCAATACCAAGAATCAGAATCAACTTTGTATGCCTCCCTTTATTACCAGCAACAGACAGTGTAGAAGGAGAGGGCAGATGGGCTGAAGCAGCTATAGGTGACATAGCTGAAGCAGGAGCTGTAATCAGATGCTAAAGTAAGTATGCAGAGATTATTGGTCATCAATACCAATAGTTTAACTGTAAACAAAGTGTGTGAGTAAATAAAGACCAAGTTTTCTATATTGATGAATGAACTAAGCGGGCAGGATAGGAAAAAAAATTATCCACAGATACAAAATTTATCCCCCCCCCCTAAGGGGAAAAAAACAGAAAAGAACATTCAGAATAATGAATTAGCTGCATAAAGTTAATCTGAAATGAAATTTAAAAGAGAAATTACTTCACCCAAAGAGGAAATGAAATCCTCATCCTTTCATAACAAAGCAATTTTATCCTTGCACAACATTTCCTTATTTTAAAAGAGCAAAAAAAAAACTTAGTAATAAATAATTAACAAGGGGTGAGTTAGTATCAGGTTAAATTCGTATCAGTGTTGCATGGACTCTCCTAAGGAAACTCTAAAGATATATAAATTTTAGTTATTTATAAAACAATAACTTTGTATGCTTGATCAGTATCTTAAGACACTAAGGCTGCATTTGGCATTCCTTATTTTAGGGACTTATCTCCTTTTTTCTTCTAAATGAACATTGAATTTTTAACTGCAAAAGTAGATAAGTCCTTAAAATAAGGAATGCCAAGTGCAGCCTAACTTTACTACATAAAAGGTAAGTTCCCCTAACTGTCATGCTTAGTACATCCAAAATAAGGATCAGGTATAGCAAGTAGCAACTCTGAGTGAACACATGAAATAAAAAGGAAGAAAAGCTTAGGAATCAGAATCTGACACATGCCCAAGAGTCTGACCCAGCAAGATGAGAAAGTATGGACATATGGAATGTCTATGAAAAGTATATACCATTAAAATAGTTGATATTTTTTGAATTCTAACATTATATGCCTGCAAAAAACTGTTGCTTTTGTTACTAATTAATGTTCAATATAAAAAATGGCATTTATCTTGTAAATTACCTGTTCATTTATGTCAAATAAGCTAGGAGATAAAAAGGAAATGTTATGTAAATTACCTGTTCATTCGTATCACTCAAGTTTAAAGAGAATTTTATGGACATGCTATAGGATTAAGTTATCAACCATGTAATATGGAATAAAATGTTGGGTAATCAACAAAAAATGCATCCATAAAATTAGCATATTAAAGATAGGGATGTTGACATGGATTAGTGGCAAGACTGTGAAGATGGCACTAGCACTCCAGCAGTTAATGCATAATATTTGTAACATCAATTAGTGGCATGATAAGGAAAAGTTGGTTGGGGCAGTTTGATCATGTTTGCATTAATGAGCAGTGGCTTAGTGCCAAGGATTAAAGTATCGATATCGGGTATTGTATCGAACCACTCAGATACAGATACGGATTCGAATACGCTTTGGAAACACATGGATACGGACGAAAAAATATAGATACACCGAAAAATGCATGTAAATTCCATAAACATATTAATAACATTATTTTTAAGATCAAAATAATTCCATAAACATATTAATAACATTATTTTTAAGATCAAAATAGCCATAATTAATGTATAGATACATAGAAAATGTATATTCTAAAGGTATATGTGAAGAAATATACTACAATTAATATAGTGGGATGCATAGAAATCATAAAATTTTATTGATATTGTATCAATCAAGAAATCCTGGAACATATTTATATATATNGTTATTGATCTTAGTTTCTTAGCTTTATATAATGGTTGGGAATAAGATAATAGTCGAGAAATATGTATTAATGATTTTTTTATCATTTTACAAAATATCATTGCATATTTCCACATATTTCATAATATTTCCACAATGGCTCCAATTTTTACAATATTTCCCCTCGACATTTCCGACATTTTCGACATGTGTCCTATATTTTGGTAAGCGACATTTCCATCGACATCGACATTTTAAACCTTGATCTAGAAAGAATTAATACTTATGACTTACTATAGAGAAAAAGACCTAGCTGGTGCTTTTCCCCACATAGGTGCTCTTGTTGCCAAGTTAATGGTGAGAATTGCTATCACTTATCAAGCTCCTGCCCTTTTTCTTCTTCAATTTGGGATTATTTTTTCTCTTTGTTTGGGTGCAGGTTGAACCCTTCGCCTAATGTACAATGTTTGTAAGTTGGCCAAAGAAGAGGAGAAGAATATTGTGGAGGTATATAAAGGCCGAGTCTACTGGTCGATTTGGGAGGAGAGGAACCAAATATTTTAGATGAAGAAAGATTTGAAGCCATTACCATTAGAGTGATTCATTAGGTGAAGATGCCGAACCTCTTTAAAGACATTCCAGGATGTGAATTGATGAGGAAATGGAGGGAGGTAGCTGATTCCTCTCCTCCCACTAAGGAGGCTGTTATGCATTGCTGGTTCACACCATATGGTGAAGCTATTAAGGCTATGCTTGGTGAATAAGTGGTTGTTAAAATATGTACTTGTTGCACAAGTGCTTATTGTAAGTGCTTATTTTAACAACCACTTAAGGCCGTTTGGTGACCCACTTGCCAAATCACTTATTGTGTTTTTTAAGCACTTATTGGGGTGGGGATGTTTGGTGAGCTACTTTCCCCACAAGCGCTTATGTTGGCATAAATGACAATTTTAGTCCTCACTTCACTTATACATATAAACAATGCTTTTCACATATTATACTATACATTTCAATGAAAAATCGCCACATCACCACATCTTGACATATGAGAGCTCACATGGGCCCACACGTGGGGTGCCATGTGGACCCAATTAACTTTGACGAAAGTAGTGAAGGTAATCTAGGTCCGTCTGGCATTGGTGGAGTATTTAGAAATGAGCAAGGAGTGGTCATTGCAATCTATCTATTCAGGCCCAATTGGAGTAGGTGACTTATTGAGGTCTGAAATTTTGGCTGTATTGGAAGAGATTCAAAAAGCAAAAGACTTGAACTTTCGAAAATTGTCAATTGAAGGAGATTGAAAGAAGGTGATTAATTGGCTCCGAAAGGATGAGGAATATGGAGGTGGTGCTAAGAAAAGGAAGGTGATGATGTTATTACAAGGGGTAGAGGTGACGCTCAATTCGGTGGGAAGGAGCAATTTGTTTTGGGCTATGTTGTAATTTGATACATCCTTGGGGAGAGCCAAGAGAGTTTATCTCTCCCCCTATTCATTGTACTTAATTGCAAGGATTAAAATATCGGTATCGAGTATCGTATCGGACCACTCAGATACGGAAACGCTTTGGAAACACATGGATATAGACGAAAAATATGGATAGGCCAAAAGATACATATAAATTCCGTAAATATATTAATAAAATTATGTTTAAGATTAAAATAGCCATAATTAATGTATAAATATATAGAAAATGTATATTCTAAAGGTATATGTGAAGAAATATACTACAGTTAATACAGTGGGATGCATAGAAATCATAAAATTTAATTGATAATGTATCAATCAAGAATCCTAGAACATATTATATATATTTTTTGGAAATTAATACATGCATAATGCTATTACTATGTTATTTTCTAAATTGAAAAGGCACAAAACATATGCAACTATTATACATAAATTATTATATTGATTATTTTCTATTTATTATTTTTAATTTTTAATATTAACCAAAAGTCAACTAAGAATTAATTCTCAAATGTTTAGTTAACAATATTTTTATTTTTGTAAACACTAAACATGTTATTATAAAATGTAATTAAATTATCAATTAAAAATTTATAAGAATATATAATATTAACTTAAAATATATCAAATATATTAAATTTTCTAAGATACACATCATATGCAAATTCATAATTTTTAACTACTAAAATAATTATTCCATTATTAATATTTTATTTCCATAAATTTTGAGATAAAAAAATCATTTTTTGATATAAATGTACATTAGTGGATTTGACAAATTCAATTTATATTATATTCTTGAGGTTTTTGTAAATAATATTTTTATTTTTATAAATAATATATATACTTTTATTTATTTCAAATTAAAATATTAATTAATAATTTATAAAATTTTAAGATACATATCATGTTCAAATATATAAATATTAAGTACTAAAATAATTCTTCTATTATTAATATCTTTTTTCGTATAAATTTCTTGAGATTAAACAAATTTTTGATATAAATGTGGATTTAAGAAATTATTTATTCTATTAGTTTATAAAATATTAGTTTTGAGCATTATTTTTTTATTTTGCCAGAATTGTTAAACACGAATGTAATTTTTCTGCATTACATGTGGACACTAGAATAGAAAAAAGTTATTTTATTTCATTAAATTTCATAAGATGAAAGTGGCCTAGTGGATCAATCGCGCAGTTAAGGCTTCAACACTGGGTGATTTGTGTTCGAATCACACCAGGCACATTTTTTACAAATAAACGCGCACACGCAAGAAACATGTTGATCTGTATCGGTCAATGCAACACGATACAGGTCGATATGAATGTGTATCGCTCTGATACGCACGATTCAGGGGATACGGGTTTAGTCGTAGCATATCCCATATCCCCTCTGGCCGATGCCGATACCGATACGATAAGCCCCGTATTAGACGTATCATATCGATATTTAAATCCTTGCTTAATCATTAACAAATGGTGTGGCCCTTGATAGAGGAATAGCAAGACAAGATTAATCATTCACGCAACCATTCCTAGATAACCAAGGCAAAGCTTGCTGAGTGAATTGAGTCATCTCAAATATTAGTGAATTTTAATTTATATGCTTCTTATATCATTTTCTGAAATTTGATACAAGTGCCTCTCTCACTATTGTTATTATATTTCCTATACTTCAAGAAGATTTGGAAATGTCACCACATGTTCTCTACGTTCCCATTTCTAAATGAACCAAAGTGAAGTAGCAGATAGAAGATGCAAGTACAGGATTGCACATATAAAGTCTACACATTAATCACAGAACCACAGCATGAAGAAAGAGGCAATGAGACCATATTATAACAGAACAAATCATTTACCTTGAGAAGGAGCCGGTGGCTTAAACCAGGTAAAATTAAGAAGTTTGTAGTCACCCACTAATGATGGGTCAAGATGAATCCGATGCTCAGCAAGCAATTTGTTTATAGCAAGTGAGTCACTGGCAGAAAAGCTTATCCCTGTATGTGGAGTAATGTCTATTGAAATATTCAACCTTGATAAGCTAAGTACATAAAAGTTGATGATCTCAAACTGAGAAACTCGTAGACCAAGCTGAGAAGCCAATTCTCCAAGAAAAGGACTCAAATTGGAATTGAGGGAAACATTCAGAAGGAGAAGGTCGAGCTTTATTGGATACACACAATGGCAAGATTGGCTCCCTCGTTTCAGCACCATGTCTGGCCCACAACAGTCTGTCCAAGAATAGGATCATATTGCAAATTAAGATCAAAGTAGACAATCAGTCATTAAACAACAAAAACTAACAAGAATGGAATAACATAGCCTCAAAGCTAGACTTCCTATCAAGTTGCCATCTGATTTTGAGTACTATGTTTTTTCTCTAAGGTGTAATGATATTTTCTATTTCCTGATCCCACCAAATCAAGTTGGAAAATGTAAAACAATAACTGGTTTATGATATAGCTTACCAGAGATTTGAGGGGACAATGGTGGCTGAGCTAAACCAGAAGGGATTTTTCCAGAATTTGAATGTTCTGGAGCAACACCTGTCAATAGAGGAGGTAGAAGGTCAGCACTAGGTGCCGGTAATTGGTTCCTCTTCATCGATGGTTTTGATGCCCTTGAACTTGAAGGAGGATTACTAGAAGTTGTTAATGAGCCATAATCTGAAGATGGAGATGGCACTGGTACTGCAGGAGCAGCAAGTGGAGGAAGAGGTTTCCGATATGGCCGGTGAAACAATGGAAGATTAGCCGGAAGGGGAAGTTCGGAAGTTGTAGGCCCAGTGAATGGAGTGCCGATGGGAGATACTTGAGGTGCTCCCAATACATAGTTGGACGATTCAGCATCCGTTATAAATGATATGTAACATGAAATGAGCAAATATTCCAGAAATAACCACCGAGTATTTTTCATAATTCCTGAAAATTCAAATATATATGAATTGAAGGCAGCTAATATGAATGAAGACAGAAAATAAAATTAAAAAAAAAATAATAATAATAATAATACCGAGCCCAACAATTACAGTACGGAGGATGAATATATCAAGTTCTTGAGAGCAAATGATGTTAGCAGAACACTAGGCTGAAATGCATTTCAAGTAGATACATCTGCCAATGATCTAGCACCTATAACAGTGCATATTTCTATATGAAGAATGAGCTAATAGGCATAAACACTATCAGTAGTCATCGAGCAAAGCCAAAACAAAATCAACACTCCCGGATAGAAACAAACCCTAGTTCAGTGATGTCGAGCTTCCAAAAACCAAATCACCATCAGTTAAATAAAACAATGCGCTGCATTTTACGGAGTCGATTGAATAAACAGTCCAGCCTCACCCAACAAAGAAAGAAAAGTTCAAAACGCAAGCAAATGACAGAAAGGACGAAATAATCGAAGAAGTAACCATCACAGGGGCCCGAAGAAAACGTACCAGTACTGTAAGTAACCGAGAACGAATCCGCGAAATCCGACACCACCGACGCCACAGAAAACGAACAGTTCAGATCTATTCAACCTTAATAAACCGTCGGTTAGATCACTCTTTGAAACAAATAATAACTTCAAATAGGAAAAAGAAAAAACATCAAGAGTATCTGTTGAAGTCATCGCCAACTTCCGATGAATCGTCAAAAGGCGGTGAGATTAATGGAAGAGGAGCTCGAAATGAATGACTGAGAGGCTCAGACGCCATAACTGGTAGTAAAATTAGGAATTTTAAGCTCATACAGTCCAATTTCTGAATATGAATTCGGATTGTGCAAACCCTCCGAATTGATTTCGTTGAGCTCCTCCTCTTCTACCTTACTACAAAATCCTTGAAGGAATCCCTTCCTTCTTTTTTTCTTGGTTTTTCGGTGTGAAGAAGCAGAACTGCTGCAGAAGGCGCTGGGGCGCTGGCTTAACGTTAATGTATTCCTAACGTGCGCTTTTAACGGAAAAGTATCATCTAACGGTAAAAACGGATCGATGTCGCGGTTTAGACGTTTAGTGTCTGCGAAGGAAATATTTTCAAAGGAAAAAAATAATAAATAATATTTTTTATTTTGGAAGGTAGGTATAGAAAGCGCGCCTATTTTTGGTACGTATTAGGTAAAACTTGAAAAAATAGTAATTAACGAAAATGCCACTTCAAAGGAAAATGAGAGGCCGAGTGAGTCAACCCATCCTGCAGAAAACGAGTTAGCCCCCGTGTGGGAGTGCTTATAGCATACGAATAAGATAAACAAGTGTTTATCCTAACAAGCGCTTATGAATTGAATGTTTGGCCAAAAAGGACTTCTTTCCTAAAAAAACACTTTTGGGAATGCTTAAAAATAAGTGTTTATTCAAATAATGACTTATTTTGGGTTGGGACTATAGACCTGTTTGATGATTAAGTACTTGTTAAAAGAAGCACTTGTGAAACAAATACTTATTTTAACAATCACTTAAGGTTGTTTGGTAACCCACTTTTCAAATCACTTATTATTTTTTAAGCACTTATTGGGGTGGGAATGTTTGGTATGCTACTTTCCCCATAAGTGTTTATATTGACACAAATAACAGTTTTAGCCCTCATTTCACTCGTACATATATACAATGCTTTTCACATGTTATACCACACATTTCAACTGAGAGCCCACGTGGACCCCCACATAGGCTGTCATGTGGATCTAATTAATAATAATATTATTATTATAAATTATTATTATTATAATTATAATTAGAAGGAAACAAAGAGATTTCTCCCTTCCTCTCTCTCTTCTTCTTCACCATCTGTTTATCTCTGCAACAGCAATTCTCTTGGGCATCTAGTCGAACAGTACGTCCTCACAGATTTCCGGTGAAGGTTCTCCGAGTTTGCTACTGGGAAAAGTAATTTGTTGATACCAGTTGAAGTGAAGGAGATATAAGAGGGGGAGTGGAGTGAAGGGTGGTTTTGTTGGCTATATTGCTTTGATGACTCGACTGGTTTGAAGCAAGGAGAGAGCGAGAGGTGGAGATGGGGAAGGCGGGTTTTGGTTTGGCTGTGAGTTGTGCGGTAGTGTCATGTACGACCGCTTCTATATTGGTTGGTAGACAAGTGAAGAGTCGGCGGAAGTGGAATTGAGTGGTCGGTGTATTGAGGGAATTAGAGGAGGGATGTTTGATGTCGATAGAAAGATTAAGGCAGGTGATGCTATGGTTGTCGAGATGCACGCTAGGTTGGCATCCGAAGGTGGAAGCAAGCTTAAGATGCTCCTTACTTTTGTCGGCAATCTTCCCAATGGGTAGTAAAACTTTCTCTACAACTCCCCTACTCGCCACTAGAAGAATAGATCAGAGGGGGGAGGTTGTCGCCGTTGCGACTCCCCTATTCTCGTCAAGAAGACGATCAACAGGGGTAAAAATCTCCTTTTTATCTCGTTAGGGAAGAAAGGGGGATGATCAGGATGGGTAAGAGAGAATGAGAGAGGAAGAATGAAAGTAAACACTATGTTGATGTCGAGGGGAAGAATATGATGAACAGTGCTTTTTGGGCGCGAGGTATTTTAGGCATTATAAAAATTTATGAAGGATTGGTTCGTCCTATTTTTTTGGAGAAGTACTTAAAAAAAAAACCAACTTGAAGTCACTTTTTCAAAGAAGTACTTCTTCCCCACTTTTTTACCAAACACCCATAAGTACTTAAAAACCAGTTAATGTATGGTCCCATGTCTTAAAAGAAGTACTTTTTTTAAGTATTCTCAAACAGGGCCTAAGTGGTTGTTAAAAGAAGTACTTGTTGCACAATTACTTTTTAGAAGTACTTATTTTAACAACTACTTAAGGTCGTTTGGTGATCCACTTGCCAGATCACTTATTATGTTTTTAAGCATTTATTGGGGGTGGGGATGTTTGGTAAGCTACTTTCCCCATAAGTGCTTATATTGATAAAAATGACAATTTTAGCCCTCACTTCACTCGTATATATATACAAGTCCAAATAAAGGTGCTAATCTCCGATCGCCGATCGACAATTGACTGTTGCTCCCAAGGAAGGTGCCACTGCTGGTATGCTCAACCCTGTTAACTGAGGAAGAAGAGGGTTTAAGGAGAGATGGGGGTATTCTGGGTATTTAAAAAAATAAACAAGGACTTTTTAGTTCCAAAATTTTTGCAAGTCCAGTTATTAACAAGTACTTAAAAAAAAGCAACTCTCAAGTGGGTTTTTTAATAAGTATTTCTTTATCAAATAAGTACTTTTTTACTAAACACCCACAAGTGCTTATTTTCCACTTAATGTATGGTCCCAGCACTTTTATTAAAAAAGTATTTATTTGAAGTGAAATCAAACAAACACTACACCAAAATAAGCGTTTATTCTGATATTAAGTACTTATTTGAGATTAAGTGTTTATTTTCTTTCTGGTTTATCTTGACACGTCATGTCATTTTGAAAAATACCTCACCAAAGATACCTATACTATTCCTATTTAAAATAAGTGTTTTTTCACCAAAGATATAAGCGCTTAAAAGTAAAATTTTTTAAATAAGTGCATAAAAAATAAACATTTTTTCAATAAACGCTTTAAAAAAAAAAAAACACTCCCAAATGGCCCTTCACTGCTTCAGCAAATCCCATGGTTTTGAAAACTGGACTAGACCAGACAGTTGGACCAAACCAGTCAGGTAACCGGTTACATTTCACCCTAAAACTGCTTTTTGGCAAAAAAAAATCATTGATTTGATCAGCGACTCACTGACCCAAGCAATTGAACTGTCAACCCAAATAACAGTTTTTAACCTTTTTTTATTATATTTTTTTAAATTAGAATGAACCATCCATTCAAACTAAACGATCAAACTGTTCGACCCAAGAATGGCCTCCTGACTAAAACAAACCGAGTTAGGAACTATATAGTTAGGCTTGACTTGGGTATTAAAATGAATTAATCAAATACAAAACCTTATTGTTTACTGCTTCACATACCCCAGTCCTCCCTGATTGGTGGTCCACCAAGAGTCAATATCATGAACTAAATTATAAATAAAGATTGTTGGGCATTAAAAAGGAATTTATTGGTCAATAGATGACTCTGGTTCCTCTGCATTCTCATCTTCCATCTCTGAAACTGAAAGTAAAATATTCAAGTATGATCTGAGCTAAGCAATCTAGGATTCTTAGCAGCTAATGCAGTATATATATAATATATAAAAAAAGGTAAAATAAGATATAAAAATGCACTTAATATTCAGTATCAGAAGCCATGCATTTCATTCACGTGGTGCCGAATCTAGCCACGAGGTGATGTCACTGTACAAGCCAAGTGACTCCACTTGGCATCATTGGATCCTCCTCTGCAAACCATGATTTTTTCTTAGCTATTTTTTATTCCTACTACTTTCTAGTTATATTAGACTAGTGATACTAAATTAATGCCTTTACACTAGCCCTAGAACTAGTCAACTAGAAGTCCTCCTCAATGGGCTCTTAGAAAGTTAGAATGACAGCTGACAAATAGGTGCCGGGTCCCCAATAAAAGAGCAAAGATTAATTGAACACGATGGCTGTGTAGAGGAAACGGGTCAGGTCGGGTCGGTCCGTGCCGCCCTCCCTTTGGATGACTTGGGGGTTGATCCGGCACGGCCCATGGCCCAAGCCCATGTTGTGTCACGGGCCGGGCTGGCCCATGGGTCGAGTCTTGGGCCAGGCCAGGCTATGCATTGGGCCAAAGCTATTTATTTAAAAAAATTGATAAAAAAAAAACTTAAAATTTTAATTTTATATAAATTTTGATGTATATAATTGCATATATATACAATAATTAAATAAATTAGTATAATAAAATTAATAAAAATATTTATTTTATTAATATACTATATACTATATATTATTATATAATATTATATATATATATATATAAATAAATAATATATATAGACTGGGCCGGGCCAGGCTGTGGGCTAGGTTGTACTAGCCCAGCCCGTGGACCTAAAACCCCAAGCCCAGCACAACTTGCACACAGCCTGTGGACGATCATGCCAGGCCAGTCCAAATTCATATCGGGCCCAACATAATTTACACCTCTACGGCTGTTTAGCAGCTGTGAAACCAATAATAATGTTCCACACAAATATAATGAATTAATGGGTCTTAAAAACTCTCCAATTATCAACAAAATTATATTTGTTTTGCCTTTATAAGCTGATTTAGCTGCTTTAAAGCTCTCCGGATAAATTATCAAAAAAGGCTGAAGTGATCAGATTCTTGGATAACTTATTTGGGCTTTTTGGAATTTTCACTAAACATAGTTTATAGTCTATCCGTATGGAACTCACCTTGGAGAGCCAAAAGCCACTGTGATTCATAACTCTCAAACGGGCCCTCATATCTTGAGCTCCCAACCGTAAAATATCAATCCGCATAACTAAAAAACATTTATATCTCGAGTTTTGAACCATAAATAAAACAATACCTAGCATAGTAAATACATGTATGATATGCATATATACTAATAAAAAATGTTAAGATACCGAATTATTCAGTGATACCAAAAACATGGGATTTTTTTCGTAAGAATATCCAAATTTAGGAGATAGAAATAAAGAAACATATTATTTTTAATAATCTTTTAATAAAATAGAAATCTGATTTTTAGCACTGTTTTCAAAACCGGACCGGATTGAACGGTTGGACTGGAAAAACCGGGAACCGATCACCTGACTGGTTCCGTTTTCCTCCAAAACCGCTTTTTCCCTCAAAACCGTTGATTTTGATCAGCAAACTGCTGAATTGATCGGTTAATCATTCGAACCGTTCGAACGGTTTTAACCATTTTCCAATTTTTTAATTTTTTTTGTCAGAACGAACCGGCTGTTCGAATCGATAACCGGACCCCTGACTGGTTTGGTCACCGGTTCGTTTTTAAAAACCATGATTT